GCGCGGGCCTCGGCGGCCAGCCCCGGCGCACAGCCGCGGCCGGGGCGCGCGGCGCGGGGCGGAAAAGCCTGTTTACACAGACTGCACACCGCCTGGGGAATAATGCAGTAAAGGAAGTGAGCCGGCTCGGCCTGACTGCTCCAACTTCCTGCTCTCACACACACACCAGAGGAAAAAAAAAAAAAAAAAAAAAAAGAGGAGCGAGAGAAAGAAAAAAAAAAGGGGGAAAAATCAGGATCTCATTACAAGAGCAACAGACCGTCTGCAGACGCCTGTCAGCATGGAAAGTCGGGGGCTTTCGCCCGGTTCCTCCTAGAAATTCCCCCGAAGAAGGATCTTGAAAGCTCCCCCACATCTGGGTAGGTAGCAGGGGTTTCTGCCTGTTGCTCGGACAGTTGCAAAGTTTCGTCGGGGGTGCTTTTTCTTTCTTTTCTTTGGCTTGGTGGGGGTGGGGCTGGTGGGCGCCGCGGGGTGGGCTGCGGGCCTGGGAAGGGGGCGCCGAGGGGGATGCTCCTGCGCCCGCGCCGCCCGCCCGGCGGGAGCTCCGCGCCGCGTCCGACCCCGCGCCGGCGGCACCCTGCCCTGGGGCTGCGCTGCAGCTCGGAGGAGGGGGCGCGCGGGGGGGGGGTGGGGAGGAGGGGACGTGGAGACTTGGGGTCCCTGGGAGGAACGGCGGCGGGACGGGCTGCGTGCCTGGAGGCTGGACCACCGCCGACCTTCCAGCCGGGGCTGGCATTCCCCTGGGGTGGCAGTGGGCACCGACGCTCCGATTCGGGGAGAGGACGGGGGTGGAGGGGGAAGCGGAGGGCGTGGGGAGCGAAGGCGTGGGGCTGGGGGTCGCTTCCATTCTCGTTCGGCAGGTGACCCCCGCCCGGGTCACCGCCCCAGGCGCACGCCCAGGTGGACCTTTAAAAGCCGGTGGAGTCTTTACTGGACACGGTTTGGGCAGAGGTTCGGGGCAGGAGACGGTCTTGGAGCCCCCAGCTCTTTAGGAAGGGGCTCTTCAGCTTGCAACTGAATGTTGGCCTGTAATGCTACTGTAACTTTCGGGAGGAGGAATTAAAATTTTGGAGAGTTAAAGAAAAATAAGAGGTCTCGGTTTTGTTATATTTTCTGAACCGAACCTTCGTGAGGACAAGCTGCATTTAGGTGGCGGGTGGGGGTGGGAGTAAGAAATGTTATTTCAGAAACTGCAAAAGGGGCTTTTTAGAAAAAAAAAAAAAAAACGAGTGTCGGGAGAGTTTCTGGCTTGTCTGGAAACGGCAAGACTAATTGCCATGCGCTTCCGCTTTGAAACTGGCAGCAGACAGCATCTTGAAAATGACTCACTAGAGGAGCTCACAAAGAAACTGGTTTGCTCCTTCTCAGGTTTATGTATTTGTGCCTTTTACAGTTTCCTTTGTAGTGTTCGAGGGGTCCCCCGCCCCTTCCCCGCCGGCCCCCTCCTACCCTCCCGCTTTTGGAAGCCCCTGGCCGGTCTTTAACCACCCCCAGCACCCCAGCCCGACGGGGGCTGGGGGAGGCTGAGTTGTTTTTGGAAGTTGGCTGGGGAGAGGGTTAAAGGGATTCTGCTGCTGCAGGGGGAAAAAGTTCCCTGAATTTTCCACTGGCTGCTGCAGGAAGAGAGAGCCCCTTTAGTCATTGCTAAGTAATGTCTGCACACACACCAACTAATCTCATTAGGAGTTTCCGCTGCTCGGCACAGGAGGGGTTTTGTGCAGCCACTGTCAGCCCGGGGAGCCCTGTGCTGCAGAGGGAGACAAGTTACGGCTTTATTTACTTAGAGGTGCAGCTGGCCAACAACCTTTTCAGGGCACTATCTTGAAACTTTGAAGTCACTTTGGCCATTTTGGATTTCAGACTTACAGGTTTTTCTTTCCCAGTTGTGTGTAGGGTGTGTGTGTGTGTGTGTGTGTGTGTAAAATTTCTATTGCCCAAGCAGCTTAAACACACCCATCCTCTCTCTTCTGTGCTTAGGTCTTTGTTGGAGGGGGTGTGGAAGGTGGGGAGCCAGAGGAGATGAGAAACTAAGCATGTTCCAGGCATATATTAATGAACTCAAATCGATTTCTGAGCCTTATTGCTTTATTGCCAAACAAAATACCCTCTGATCTCTCTCCCTTTTTCTCTGTCTGTGACACACATTTATTTGGGATAGGTCAGTTATGGGTTTCAATTTATGGGGATTATAAAATTACAAATTGTGTTAGGAGGGCATGTGGGTCAGACAGTTAAGAAGACTGTCCATAAGTGTTTTTAGAGTTTCCAGTAATGATCCTGCCTGCAAAACCCCCTGATGGTCTTTCTGTGCCAAATATAGCAAAATAGCAAAGGCCTTCTGGCCTTTTTTTTTTTTTTTCCTTTTTAAACCTTTAAATGTTGGAAATGTGTAGAGTTGCTAAAAAGGGTAAAGAATTTTAAGGAACCCGATTGGAACTGTGGGGTTGCTTTATTGACAAGAACCTGTTGCTGGGGACATACTCTTGAGGGTTTTTGAGGTGTTGGCGTTTCTCTTATGGTCACAAAGCATGTCCTGAAAACAGCTCAACTAGGGTGTGAGTCAGTGGACACAAGTACAGATGTCCCTAACATGGTGCCTGGCACAGAGTAGATGCTCAATAAATTGTTGCATTGAAAGCTGTGAGTAGGATAACAGAATTTATAATAAATAGATAAGGGGAAAAAAGCTTTCCAAAGGCTCAAGAAAGGCCCCTTGGAGCAAACTACAAACCAGTCTGGATAAACAGACTTTCTGGAGTAATTTTATCCCCCTGGTGACATTCGGCAATATCTGGAGACATTTTGGTTGTCTTAACCAGAGGGGGTGCTATTGGCATCTAGTGGGGTAAAGAATTAGGAATGCTGGTACACATCTGGCAAAGTACAGAACAGCCCCCCAAAGTAATTTTCCAGCTCCAAATGTCAGTAGTGGCCAGACTGAGAAGCTTTATTTACATTAATGATGATAAGTCTTTTATAGGCAGCCATTCAATGGATAGGACATTTACAAGTTATAAGTTGTACTTTTCTGCCACATATGTAATACAGTGTGCATGAATTTTCTCTCCCTTTCTGTCTTTTTGGTCAGTAATATGTAATAGAAGGACATGTAAGTGACGAATTGTGATGGTTTACCTTTGTGAGCTGAATTAGACCATCTCTGAACCTCGCTCACTTGATACTAATGCTTTTTGGACCAGAATGGCAATAGCCCAGATAGGGAAAGTAGTGATTTTTCAGCCCTGTTTGAATTTTGGAGTTTCCTAAAACATTTATTAAAGATCTCTTTTTCTTATTTAAAAAAATTAATAATTCAAAACTGTAATATACAGTAAATGTAACTCTGAGATCATATATTGAAATTTATATTTGTAATAACTTTTTGGAACTTGAGTCTTTTCCTGAAATCGGTTTTAAAGTCCTTCCAGTCAGTGCGTATAAATTAAAATATTCCTTTCTTAGCTGTCAGATACTGGGTTTTGTGTGTTTTGTGCTACCCAATTATTTTTATATACCTATCCAATTCAAAAAACCAATATGGTTATAGAACATTACCTACTGACAAACCCAAAACACTAACAGAAAATTGTCCAAGGATGTGACTTCCTGGAGTAGAGTCCTTTTTTTTTTTTTTTTTTTTGGTGATGGTGAATTACTGCCTATGAATTAATACTGCTTTGCTCCTTTCCAGTCCTAGGGAATGATTCAGCTATCTCCATGTTCTCCAGACCTGGGGTTCCTCATTAAACTTTAAAAGAAATGGGTTCTCTATTCTGGCTGTGCCCTGGATGCAGGCAGCTGGCTTCTGCCCCTTCATGAGGGCCTGCACCTACACACACACACACACACACACACACACACACACACACACACGGGAGCAACACGGGTCATTTGAATGAAGGACCCCACTCCTGTCAGATTTTTCTGTATGTTTCCAGCAAGAGCTGTTTGTGTCCTGGTTATCCATAATTCCCCCTTTGTCTTTGTAGATTGATTTATAGTATATTTGAGATCACACTAGCATAACAATATTTTCTAAAAGTCAGGTTTTACTTCTGTTTTAAAAAATAGTTAATGTGAATTACGTTAGGAAGAGTCAGAAAACCACGAAGAAAAATATAAACATCTCCCATAATCCCACCGTGGACATTTTGGTGTATATTTTTTTCAGTCTTCTACAGTGTGTGTGTGTGTATGGACACATACCCACGTACATGTACACATACATAAAACTTTTCATTGGAGTCATACTATCCTTGCTGTTTTATAACTTATTTTTACCTAACATATCATGTAACACATTTTCATAACTAGTACCAAGACCAAAATTACTACACATAGAGCATATATTTATTGATCTAATAAATGTGTTGACTCAACAGTGGATTGACATAATTTCTACATGGACTTGTTCAGTGTTTTTGTCTCTGCGGCTCCAAGTAATGTCCTAAGAATGCTGACCTCTTAAAAGACTGAATTCATATGTGCTGTGAAATTTGGGATTTTGATGAGTTTCTCTATGATTTAAGAATGAGTCATGATTTGCAGTAGAATATCAAGATGTAGTAACAGGAAGTCCAGGGCCCTACACATCAAAATAGAATGTTAGATGATGAAAAAAGAGAAGCTAGGTTAAACCGAAAATATACCTTGAACTTTAAAGAGGGAGGAAGAGGTCTCTTGCACACTGAGATGATTCTTAGTTATTAGTGTTTCATTTTATATCCAGAGAGTTTCCAAACTTTGAAATTGGTGTTTTAAATGGATTCGTATCTCAAGATTACTATTGCTCATGGCCAGTTTGAATTAAGATCATCCAACTTTTTGGTTGAAACTGCAGCAGTGAGACTATGACAACTGTCTTTACCACCAAAAGTGCAGCCCCAGGAAATTGAGTTATCAGCGTGTGTGTGTGTGTGTGTGTGTGTGTGTGTGTATAAAACCATCTGTTAACGAATCCTAAAGGCCTTCAACAATGGTAGATCATTCAGTTTAAGTAACTATTCTGGGCAGAAATTTGACTCTTTATGACTCCTGCCTATAACCAAAATAAAAATGGCCTTTCATCCATTACCTGAAACTTAACATATGTGTCAGCAGTTTAAAAATAAACCTTGAATTGGTCATTTCAATAAATTGTAATTTGGTGTGAATTGCCACTAGAAATTAGTAACTCATCGATGATATGTTTCAATTTGCATTTCCTGGAAGGTAGTTATTCAATTCTAAGAACTGAATGGGGTTATTTTATAATTCGTAAGACTTATTTGTATATTTTTAAAGAAATTAAGATGATGGTTATACTAACATCTAATTTGAATTGGACTAAAATTAATTTACTCACATATCTGCTCTAAAAAAGGCTCTAAAGCACATGGTATCATAAGTATCTTTAAAGATTCCATATCTAATAATAATTCCTAATTTTCCACATATAAATATGGGAATGATGGGGTAGATATAAAACACACTTACCTAATGCCTTCTCTTAGACTGGGGTCAGGAGTCCTTTACTCCAAGCAGTAGAACAAGGAATCTGAGATCGTAGGTGTCCTTTTTTTTTTTTTTTTAATTGGGATATAATTTCATACATGGAAATGGACAGATCTTCAGTGTTTTTGTATACATCCAGGAGATCTATACCCCTTACCTTCAAATATAGAATATTTCTACCACCCCAAAACATGCCCTAGCTATTTCTTTTTGTTCTGACAATTTCATGATTCCACCATGTAGGTTATTAAACCCCAGAACACCTTCATAAAATACTGCAGTATTTTTATTTAATCTGCTTGGTTAAACATAAATCACTAAAATGTGTGGATTTCCTCAGCAATAGGATAGGAG